CCATGCTCATATGATTCTCCTTATATGCGTTATCATGCTATACTCTCTAAATTTAAACCAGTGAAATTTCACTGGTTAACAGTGTAATTTTCACTACCCTCGTCAGTTAGGATCAGGTCACATGCAAATAGTGAATATTCGCTTCATAAAATAGTGAAATGATTTTAACTCTCAAAAGCAGTGAAATTTTCACCACATAAAGAAGTGAACTTTTCACCCACAAAGCAGTGAAATTTTCACCCATAAAACAGTGAAATTTTTACTACATAAAGCAGTGAAATTGTCACCACATCACCACGTATTAGTGGTGTATTTATAAATTGCTACAACAGTAATAACATAATACTTGAATCACTGCACTTTTATTACGAACTGAAATGCATCATACATGATACACACAGTGAAATGACAATAATTTTACACTGCAGAGAGGCACGTTTACTTCAACGTATATCATGTAGACACATGGTACACGACATAATCTAATATTTGCCTTATGAAAAAGCATGGACTAACTGCTGGCAATTATGAATAGATACACTTTGATAATTTTACACTTATATATTAATAAAATCGTGTTTACTAACTGTGATCGACAAAACTTTATGGCGGAATATTGATCTGACGACCATCACTACCATTAGCGCGAACACTGGAGGATTCTCGGTACATGTATAGGGTAGATACAGGCGGAAGGACAACTTCACTTTGTACAAAGTGAAAAAAATTTTCACTTCACGAAATAGTGAATTATTTCACTATTTCTTAGCGATTAGTGATTTGAAGAACGTCTCACTTTAGAAAAGTGGAATTCTCACTTCATTGAAAGTGAAAAAAAAAAACTTATATCTAAATAGTAAACATTTTCACTTAGCTTCAAGTGAAACAGACATTCACTACCAAAATAGTGAACATTTTCACTGGTTTAAATTTAGAGAGTATGTATATTATACCATGCCCCTCTTACATGATATTTCATCCACGAGTGTGTGTGTATGTGTGTGTATAATACCGCAACCTTATATATACATATTATTGCCAATTCAATATGCCGTTCTATTTTCCAATAACATATTTTTTACACATTATATATAATACTTGCTAGCAAACATAATTATTTATATATTATATACATGTTGTGATATATAATATTATGCGATACGACAATAAAATAAGTATCCAAATCATGCTTGCGCTTTCCCATCATCAGCTGTTTTACAGATAATGCGTGTATATACATTATATTCATATGGTTGCGTTGCGCCTATGTATACCTTTTTTTCGCTCACTTCCTCCACTCCCGCATTTGCACAATCATCAACCTAAAGTTTGATATATTTTTTTTTTTTTTTTTCTTTTTTTTTCTCCCAAGTAACCCAAAGCATAAATAACATGATGCACGCACGCAAAAAACTTATTATTACTGCAGTAGCACTTACAATCATACACCCAATCATCACCCAATCTGCACGTAACACAATGTACCTAATATATTATGACGTGGGTGAGGAAAGTTATATGAATATATAACACGAACGCATCTTGCAGTACGAGCCGCGGTCGCGACCAACCTTCCCGGAAATCGTTCTGACCCTCGACGCCTTGATCGCGAATCACGAGGACGAGACAAAGACAGTGGTGGGCAAGCGGCAGTCGGTAGACCAGGATATGCTCATGTCCAGCATAAACACAGGGATGATGCGCATGATCGCGGGTGCCCGGAGCCGAGAACCGAGGCAGTTGGGTCGACGCCAAGCCCCGGCCACCAAGCCTCGCAGTCGCTCGGCCGACGCCCGAGCCACCTCTCCGCCCTCCTCCTCGTTCTCTACGTCGACCACCTCCTCCTCGTCCTCCAACGCCACCTCGTCCTGTCGCTGCTGCTGCGTCACGGGCAACAACCACCCGACCCCAAGCGACAAGGCGCGCTGCCACTCGGCCAGACGGGTCGCCGAGCTCGCCAGTAGACGCGACCCCCATTACCGGCCCATGACCGCCAATCCCTTCCACGCCCTCGGCGGCGTCAAGAAGATACTCGGTGACCTATTCTCGAGCTGCCTGGAACTACCCTCGCTCGAGGACCCCACCAGACCATCGGTCCCGGGTAGCACTGGCACTCCCAACAACCGTCCCAGGGGAACAGCGCAGCAGCAGCAACGGCCATCCAACGACGACAACGCGAGTATCCTGGTCCGCAAGAAGCCGAGCTCCGAGCCGAGCAGCCCCACCGCCCGCAAAAAATGGGAAAAAAAGGTGAGTGTTGTTGTCATTTCAATTGGATGATTAATAATGATGATGATGATAAACTTGTACGGGTTGCAGGTCGCGGCGACAAAGGTAGGGGCGGCGACGAGCTTGTTCGCTCATCCTCTGTTCCGGGACGGTGGGGGCTGGGAGCCACGGCGCAGGGGCAGCTGCGAGTCGGGTTTTTGGAGCTGCGTTGGGGAAGATCTGAGCCCGGAGCCACCGGCCAATCACAGGCGCCACGCCTCGACGACCTTGAGCAGCTCGGCCGCCAGCAGTCTGTTTCTTCTGGACGACCACCGGACGAGTTCCATCTACACGGACTCGAGCGAGGACATTGCGAGCTTGGGGGGCAACGACTCGGCGACCTACTGCTGTGGCTGGGAGGAGCGGTTCGACAGGTGCGGCTGGGGACCCACGCACAGCAAGACCATCGCCAAGATCGTCGAGTACTTTGAGCGCAAGCACCAGGCCCCCGGGGCCGCCGCGGCCGCTGCTGCCGTTGCCAGGCTCCAGATGATGCAGCACTCGTCGGTGACCGTGCAAGCTGCTGCCGACTGCCCCCCGAGTCGGATAGCCTTGCTGAGGGCGAGGCTCGAGGGCTCGGCGCCCCTCAGTAGTATCAGCGCTGCTCAGAGGCTCGTTGTTTGCGAGGGCGCGGTGCGCAGCAAATTGCCGCTATTTGACAAAAAGTGACCACTGGCCGCGAGGGAGCTTCAACAATTGAGGGCCCCGGCGAGCCGGTGAGCCACTTCTTACTGTTATTGTACCGTCGACGACCGGAATGCCGGTGACGATGATGATTTCGCCTGAGCTCCTCTGTGCAATGTTGTTTTGTTTCACGATCCCCTCCCTGGGATAGGGTATATTACGTTGGGTAAATATATACATATACATATATACGTTGATCGGATAATATTGTAACCTGAGTCGTATTATGATTCAAGAGTATCAACTTTCCTGTCAATAACTTTGAATAGCACACAATTGCGCAACGATCATTTAGTTTCTGAACAGACTTTTGTTGTTTGGAAAAGAAAAAAAAAAAACTTATTTTCGATTGTCTGTCGCGATTTTTTTTTTTTTTTTTTTTTTTTTTTTTTTTTTTTTTTTTTTTTTTTTTTTTTACTTGATCGTTTCAGCAGTTTCATGAATTGGAAAATAAATTCGTCTCATTGAAATAAAAATATATTTTTGCCATTCATCCAAAGTGATAACGTATTGTCTGTTCGTCATCCATTTGTTTTACTTGTTTGAAGCAGTTCCTAGTTAGGCAGGCAGCTCCGTCCTGTACCTATATAGTTATATTAAATGTATTCCTAAGCCTCATTTTGGTCCCCACGAGGATAAAATGTAAACTCCAACGTAACGAGTCAAAGCTCTTATTATATACATTGGAAAATCGGGTTCAATGAAATATTAAAATTATCACGCAAGTACATTGAATTCTTTTAAATTAGCAAATGCTTGAGGATGCATACGAGCTGGTGCAAAATAAGTCAGTTTGTCTGACTTGTACGTAACATCGAATACATACTTGCTTTGATCGCTGTTTGTCAATACACGAGCGATTTTTGAATTTCTCGTCCCAAGTACGTACTTAATGTACTATTCGAAAAGTACATTTTCACAACAAATTGTCAACCACACGGAATTACAGTTCAGATACTGATTTATCCATGCTCTTAGATATAATAATTTTGTATAGTGTATTACTTTTTTTCGTCTAAATTAAGAACAGACTGCAAAAATTAGTATTTAAACAAATTGTTTTTATTCCTTTACCTAAGATATCTTCCTAAGAACGTCCGTCAGTGTCAATTCAGTGTCAAATCATCACTAAGATGTAAAAAAGAAAAAAAAAGTCTTCTACCCCTATTATAAAAAAGAGATCACAGCAAGGCCTAAAGATAAAGTAAACACATGTATACATTTAAACAAAAATATTAAGCCAGGATGTTTCGTATGTACGAAAATATTTTGTGTGTATGTGTGCGCGTGTGTGTGTGTGTGTGTGGATTACCTAATTTTAGAAGAGATGCTAACATAATTTATATATGTAACCATGTATGTAAACATGCATACGTACGCGTATGAATGTAGAAAAAATATTGAAGTGATTGCTAAGTTATTGGAGGACTAAGCCAATCGAAAGAGAGACGTTATATATATATATACATACATTTATAAAATAATTTAATGTAGTTATGAATGTAAATGAGGAATGGCGACCAAAGGCTATGCGTGTATTGTATATAGTTATTTTAAAAACCTTCAGGTCAGCGTGACCGAAGATTGACAAAGGAATAAATTCGCCCTTTGCAGCTTGATTTTTTTTAAATCTCGCATGGAAAGGTGTCCTGGCCACGTCCTCTGGAATACATGGTATTGTGTGACATACACTCCATTGATATTCAGTGTCGCTCAAATGTCTTTCCAGAGATCGGTTTGTGTCAAATCCTTAGATGCGGATACAAATTAGCCAGCAGGACAACTGATCTAGTCTATGTATTAAATGAGGCGGCCTTATATTTTATATATACACACTTATATAAAAAAGTAATACAAGTTTAATACAACAGTTTTAGATAGTGCAGAAAATAAATAAAAAATAATAATAATAAAAACTGATTTTTAAGTCCAAGTTGACGATACAGATACGGCGAGGCACCTGTAACGCAAAACATACTAACACGTAACGTTGTAAGCATGACAACAACGGGATTGTTGAATAAATCTTAAAAGTCTGATTTCTTCATTACGAATGTACCCACTTTTGGTGTCCCAACTTTACTGGTGCTTTCATTATTTGATAAATTTTCCATTGAAACATAAAAAAAAAAAAAAAAAACTTACATA